CTTTCGGTAAAATTGGTTGAGTAGTTTTTGAGTTAAATCGTAACAGACAAAAAATCAATCATCTTTCATCTAATGCGACCCTAATATTAATTTTAAAATAATTCACTCAAAACTAAAAATGCAAAACCTTTAAATTTAAAACAATATAGGTAACTACCAACAATGTGAAAACAAAACGAATTAAATTAAAGTACCTATGTTCAGGACTATCAATTTTAATTAATAAGTAAGTAGTTAGGTATCTAACTACCTAAAGAAAACAAACACGAAACAAAAATGCGACTATGAAGTTTTAAATGATTCACAATAAGAAAAAAACAAACAAATTATTAAAACTCAATGAAATAAAAGTATGTTTGCAAGTATCTATGTATGTTCCGACTACCTAAAGACAACAAATACAAAACAAAAATGTGACCTTAAAATATCGAACGCAATTATAACTTTCCAACAACACCCAGAAAGAAAACACAGTCGTCAGTCGTCACCTCCATTCGCTCCAAGTCAGTTTATTAAAGGATCACGCGCGCGTTATCGTTCGGCTTATTAGCTAAACAGTAGGCAAGACGGTGCGGGGGGAGGGTCGGCGATCGCATCAAGCGAAGCGAGGCGCTTGAATTTTATTCTCGCGTCCGTAATTTTTTTGCGATTACTCCTAAGATATTCATTTAAATTATATGGTGTAAAAGAGTAAAATAATGTGCATGAAATGCTTAAAGCCTCTAACTTATTTAAAATGATAAGGATTAATACCGTATTTGTGTAAATAGCTTTTACATTACCGCTTTATAATTGCCAATTTTTTAAAGTATTAAAATGGATATAGGTAGTATGTTATCTTTAACATATAGACATATGCCATCGCGGACTTTTCTGTAGGCATATATAAGATACACAATTCCACCATACATTGATACACTACATAAACTTTCGGACCCCCCCGGCTCGGACGCGAGGCGCGGGGTCACGGGGCGCCCGCGCGGCCCGGTCGAATCACGGCGACACGAAATTAATTTCGTTGCGCATTATTTTGATTTTGCTATATCTCCTAAGGTATTCATTTAATTTGCATGGTGTAAAGGGAAAAAATAATCTTCATGAAATGCTCAAGCCAACTAACGTATTTAAAATGATAAGGATTAATACCGTATTTGTGTAAATAGCTTTCCAATTACCGCTTTATAATTGCCCATTTTTTAAAGTATTAAAATGGATATAGTATGTTATCCTTAAGAGATAGACATATGCCATCGCGGACTTTTCTGTAGACCTATATAAGATACACAATTCCACCATACATTATTTTGTTATATCTCAAAGGGTTTAGGCAGCGTTTTCGTTGAAAGCTCCCAGACGGCTTATTTTTTTCCGACACCTCCAACAAATATCGTTAATGTATACAAAAACTTAACAAATTATATACTAAAACCTTCCTTGAGAACCACTCTATCCATTGGTGAAAACAGCAAGAAAATCGGTGCAGTAGTTTTTGAGTTTATCGCGAACAGACAGACAAACAGAGGCGGCGGAGGACTTTGTTTTATAATATGTAGTGATATAAGAATACATAAACGTAAATATGTAAACCAAAAATTGGTTTAACGCACAAGAAATAATAGTAGACTATCTTTTGATCTTGAAATGTCTCATATACTCATCGACAAAGATTTGTTAAATCTATAACAGAAGTAACATTTTTTAACTTTTTTAAAATTCAAATATTTAATCTCCATTAACGACGAAAAACTGTTCGGGGTACTACAATAGGGTCGTTATGAAAATTTAAACTCTAGACAAAGTATTGCAGACACACATAATAGTTAACCAAAATATAGCTCTTAAATACAATAATAATTACTTTTTTTATCATATTTTATCGTAAATCTTCCAAATAATGTGGAAATGATACATTTATAAATTTTCATGAAGCCACCATCTTGGTTATGCATTATGGTGCGAAATAATTATCTTCAAAGCGATGATTTTGATATAACCAAATTTTATTTTAGTCATAAGCGTTCGGTTCTAAAATTAAAAAACGGGTGGACGTAAAAAAATGTATGTTAGCAATTTTTTTTATCTAAAAGTTCGGTCTAATATAGTATCCCTAGAAACTCATTTGTGCAAATTTTGAAAAAATATCTTTAAAAGTGCTCAAGATAGGGAGACCTAAACATTTAATTTTTTAATTACTACTATTTGAAAACTAATCAAGTAAAAATAGGTTTTCCCCTTTTACTACTTGTTTTAAATTGGTGTGGAATCGTATCTAATAACATTAATAATAATATTTTTAATTTTTTTAAAGATAATCACTAAGTGCATGGCAAATGAAAATATAAAATTGCAAAAATGAGTTTATAAAGACAAGCTTTGTTCATATTAGAGAGGATTTAGAAATAAATATTAGGTAGGCATGTGACGAACTTACTAATCAAGAAAGAAGAAAAATAATAAAAAGGTTAAAAAATTAATGGGAAAAAGAAACTTGTGAACTGAAATGGAGATAATTGATTATTTAATGTTATATTTTTATGTTTGTTATTCTGCCATATATTTTCTGTTGTAACTATCTTTAATAAATTTTTATGACCAACTAGATAAAAAAATTCAGGAGACTAATAACATTTTAAAAAACAGAAAGGAAAAACTTTTTTAACTTTAACAGCTAAGGTAACGATTGAGCAACAGTAAAAAACTAAATATTTTGGTAGCCATAGCACGAGCACTTTTAAATATATTCAAATTTGGCCATTCTAAATTAGAAAAGACTAATAACTTTTCAAGTAGTTCATCAAGAGTCGATTTTGTTGAATTATAAAAATTGAATTTTATTAAATTGAATTATAATCCAAAATAAATAGAAACTATAAATATACTCTTTTTTATCACTATAATTTTAACACATTATAAAATATAAGTTAGCTTAGCTTTTAGCTTTTTGGTTATTTAATATCGGCCTATTTCTTTTACTTGCCTAACATTGTTTAGGAAATGGATCAATGATATTACATTCTTTCCGAGAGATGGTATGTCTTCCTATACAAACCTCTCCTAAATTTGTAGAGCTTCTGAGAATACACCAACATATAGGCCACTAGAAGATGGAAGATCATTTCGAGCCTTCCCCAGATGGTCACCGCGATCGACGTTGCTTGACTTTTCATAACAATGACATGAATCCCAAATCGCTAGGCCGTAATTGCCCCAAAATAAAAGTCCTTTCCTAAACACTTCAGGACTGTTGTTTAAGGTGTTAATGGTATAAGAGAAAAACTGTCACGATGTACTTTTATATAGTAAACTGAACCTTAAAAATAGTTTTGCAAGAGTATTAATTTGATTGAACTTCATTACAGCACTAATATTGATGTTTTTAACAAGGTAAAGAACATATTAACAAATAATTTTTTGTGTACTGTAATATAATTTTTCAATTTGAAATTTGTAGCCTGTAGGTGAACATTATTGAGTTATTAAGGGGTAGTGCTTTGAACTATCATCATTTTGTTTGCTATTTTTTTCTTATTTTCCAAGGAGCTCCCAACATACAATCATGATTTTTTACTTTGAATTGTGCATCCAAGGTGTTGATGGCTTTTGTAAATGCTATTTTCCGTGAAATACGTCAACTGGAATTTTTTATCCTCATTGGATTACAACTTTTCAAATTTCTGGTATTTAAATTCATGTGGTGCCTTTGATCTTGCAAAAAATACACTTGTGATTGCCCTATTTGCAGCTGTCTCTATATCTGAGAGTAAAACCTTCTTCAGAATCGAAATATGTTCAAAAGTAATTTTTCGTAAACTTTTTTTCAAATACATATTACAGTTTCACAGTAATTGAGAGTAACCGAAGCACATCAATAGGCAGATCAACCTTACTTTTAAACATTATTGCCATATTTTCTTTTAAATAATTATAAAGTTAAATATCTTTTTGTATTTCTTGAATTATTGAATTGTTATAAAATTGTTCAAATATAATATAAAGGGGAAATATTAGAAAGGTTTTGGAGACTATTATTTGAGTCATTTTAAGCCAAAAAGGTCACATAAACATGGTTCCCAAAATCGATAGTTCTCAAAATAGGTGGAAGTTAGGTTAGGATTTATCTAATTAAATGTAAAAATCATATATAAATACATCTACCAGTGGCGGAGATATGGGGAGCTCCCGATATTTGAGATTTTATATTTTGAAAATTTGATCACGCCTCGTAACCAAGAAAAAATTCTTCCACTTTTATACGACAAACAAACCATATTCGAGTTATTTCTTCTTTATACTTTCGTTAACGTTGTCAATAATTTCATTAAACCTATACTAAAGCCCAAAAAAATATTTGACGCATATTGCTTGCCTTGCTGCTCTTAATAAAATGCAAAATTTCTGCGTCATTGCTTTTTCGGACTTGTCATAATTAATAAATAAAATGAAAGATATTTTTTTTATTTGTATTACCACAAGCAGTTACAAGCAATGAGCGAATTTTCAAAATAATTAGTGGCGTTGAATTTTCGGAGTTTTCAGTGAGAGCGACTCCCGGTATTTCCGCTACTGATACACGTATTCATATCTGAATTCAGCTGATTTTTTCTTCTACGTTGATAAATAATTAGCCTGATTATTTTAGAAAATGCGATTTCTTCTAAATTTCAACACGCTGTATCTCAAAGTTATGGAACCATACTTACATATATGACCAATTTGGCTTAAAATCTCTTAAAGAAACGCCCTTAAAGTTTGTCGATGTAGGTACTTAAACTCAACATACATTTTTAAATTGCTTTATCAAACAGTAGAAGGTCAAAAATCAAATACATAAACGTATTTAGTGATTTTCAACGGATTCTTGATATGAAGTAATTTTTTAAAAACATCAATCTATTCGTCTTGATAAATCAATGTCCAAAAGTAAAAATTTATAGTGGATTTATATATGCAATGTTTGTTTCTAGTATTTGCTGTGTATTTAAAACTTATTTTTGTTGCAGTTTCCTTCTGGGTGCTGGCCCTCGACCACGACCTCCAGATCGCGTCAGGCTCCATCGGCAGCATAAGCGTGAAGGATCCAGCAGGAACAAAGGTCGCCTTGTGGGATCAAGTAGCTCTGGATGAAGGTATTGACCGCTAGTTTCTCATTAATTAGAAATATTGAGTAGGTAGGACTCGGGGGGATATTGGACGCCTGGTTGACCATTTCAAACGATTGTCCATCAAATTTCAATTACCATACAACTGGGGCCTCCGCTAAGTATAGACGAGGGCAGATGTCTATGTTTTAGGTCACCGCAATACCTCTTTGTCTCCTAACTTAGTTTAGTTGGAGTTGTGTATTAACATCGGACGCTCCCTTTACACTCGTGCCAATCACGAAAACTGAATGCGGGTTAAATTACATTTACTAAAATCACATGCACATTCGCATATTTTACATAACCAGTTGGGTTGATTCTTTTCGTCTCAGTTTTATTATTTTATTTGACTGCGTATTTCTGCCATACTGAAAAGGTTTTTTATTTAATAAATAACTGTTTGCGCAAAAAAGATCAGTAAATTTAGTTTTACCTATCCAGAAATATCACATACTGAGAAAGCAGTTAATTCTTTACTACAATTTAGTATACAGAGACCTCATAAATGTTTACAAGCCACGTGACCGTCGAGCATAGGCAACCAACAATTCACGGTTGGTAAGATCAAATGAAAATCCCTAAACCCCAGTGGAGTGGTTGACGGGGTTAAATAAAATTGTTTTTAAAATTGATTGACATGATGACTATTGACTATTGATATTAAACTTAATACATATAATTTATTACTAGATACTTCCGAAAAATACTATTTTCTCTGCTGAAATGCTTTTAACTTTATTAAAAGGAGAAAACTATCAAACTTCACTAGTTAATGAAAAAATTGCAAATTTTTACTGTGAAAGCAAGAAGAACAAGAACCTATAAATTTATTATTATTTTTTATTTAAATACAGAGTAAAACAAACATAGACAATTTACTTTTTATTATAGATAAAATAGCATTACGTAAAAGTTACATTAATTTACTCTTCGTTGAAATATAAAATAAATTCAAGTTCATAAATTAGTAAGGTATATTGTCATATTTGTGATAAACATTACATAATATGATGTGCTTCACTAGTCACAAAAATTATTCATGCACAAATTTACTCTCCTGTGCATATTTTCATTCCCAATTATATTAATTTCTTTCAGATTTTAGTGAATATCAGCACACCTTTTTTAAAAATCAATAATTTAACCTCCGTTACCATACAAAATTTTTATACAGGATGTCTGCGGATTGAGTTTACAAGAGAACAAATAGACCAAAAAGTGAAAGATACGAGAAAAAGGCATTCTTGATAAATGTTTTTGTTTGTTTAAAAAATATGAATCACCATGACGAATTTCATTTTTGTTGTACAGGGTGGATCAAAAAGACAAAAATGTTATTTTATTTTGCAAGATACAGAAAAAGGCATTCTTTATAAAACTTTTTGCTTGTTTAGAAAATATGACCATGACGTACTTCAATTTTGTTGTACAGGGTAAGAAATCAAACATTCCTTGATAGAGCAATAATTAGAAAAATATGTTCAATGTGGTATATTTGAAATTTGATATCTTCATCATGTTCCTCTGTTTACTTTTTTTAGCTTAATTATTGGTGTAATTATGTTCGTATTATTTAAAAATTACACTTGAATAAGACGTATTTTAGTTTTGTACTTTGTTCCCTGTATAAAAAACTAAATCTTTGATAACGCGACTCTTATTAATTTTTTAAGCAAAAAATTATCAAGAATGCCTTTTTTCTGTATCTTGCAAAATAAGGTATGTTTACTCTTACGCAATATAACACTTTTGTGTTTTTGACCAACTTTGTACAACTAAATTAAAGTTAGTTCATCATGGTGATTCATAATTTCTAAATAAGCAAAAACATTTATCAACAATGCCTTTTTTTATATCTTGCAAAATAAGGCGTGTTTACGCAAAAGAACATTTTTATGTTTTTGACTCACCCTGTACAACAAAACTGAAGTTCATCATAGTGATTCCACAGACAAAATAGCTATCGCCCCAGACCGCTACTGGAATAGGCGAGCAGTTTTAAATTTCCAAATTGTCGATAGAGTACACCGCCAGTAGAATTTTAGGAAGAACCAAATGCAGCGACCCACATTCCTACGCGTATCCTAGCAACATATAAACAACACTTTGGCAATGCTGCCAGGCGTACTTACGGATTTATTTTGTACATTTTTTTATCAATATGTGTTTTTTGCATTAGTGTATTTACTTAAATGTATGATGTAGGTATTGAAGAATCAACGAATATCTATGTAGTTTCATTATGATATTCTACAGAGTTGTCACAGTTAGGTTATTTAATCATAATTTCGTTAACACCCCTGGTTCTGATCGTCCATTTTGCATTGAATGGAAAAGGTCCGAAGTCCGTATGCCGAAAAACAAAAAAGTTAGTCAAAAATTGCAACAGCAGTAGCGAACGCATTATCTTATCTCTGTTGATTGATGATTTGTTGTTTTTTTTGTAAATAAATTTCGTATTCAACTACTCCTTGAGGTTCCAGCAATTTTACATTGTGTTAATTTTTTTCAACACATTGTGTTACAAATATGAACACTACCAATGGCATCCATGACATGCAACACATTAATTTCAAGTTTTTTAATTCTCCCATTCCAAGGTGGCATAAAATAAATAATTAATTAGGTAAATTCATAGTTTTAATTCTAACTTGGTTTATTTTATTTAGCATTTAATACAAATGTGATTTTTAAACAAAAGATAAGTTCCATATCTCTTTAATACATAACTGAATGCATTAAATTTATTTGGCAGTTATTATTTGGCAACAAAGCCACCGCTAGAACTGCCACCTATTACTAAGTAGAATAGTTACCACGCTAAATTTTATTGCTAGATGCCGGCTGACAAAAGCCTGCATCCTTTTCGGGTTGCCAGTTTCCAGCATTTAACACGCAGTCTGTGGCGATAAGCTATATTGTCTGTGGTGATTCGTATTTTCTAAACAAGCAAAAACTTTTATCAAGAATACCTTTTTTTGGCGTATCTTTCACTTTTTGGTCCATTTATCCTCTTGTAAGCTCAATCCGCGGACATGCTGTAGGATGGTGTCCCACTTTGATACTTTCCGATTAAATACATATCTTTATGTTTACATACCTATTTTTAAATTTTCTATCACTTTTCAATAGCACATTTCCGGCTTAATAGTGTCATACTCAACGGAATTTCCTCATAAATTGTTCAATGCAGGATTGTAAAGAGTATGCTATGACCGATGATTTTGAGTTCCGCTTCGAAAATACAATAAAATGTTATTAACGTCAAAATGTTCTTTCTGTTATAACTTACCGGTAATTCGACGAAATGCGAAAAACTTAGCTGTGAAAACAACTGATTCATTTGAAATACGTACGATTTAATATTGAAGCAAAAGAAACAATAAAACTATGTCAGCAAATGAACTCAAACGAAAACAGACACGGACGACGGACGCAACTGAAAAATGCACAAATATCAATTTAACGTCATCGGTCATAATGATTCGTTTACAATAAACAGTAAGAAACCATTGCGTCTACACTGGATATACTCTGATCACTGATTGGTTGAATGAAATTACACCTATCATAAACCGGTAAGACGAAATGTTACGTTTTAATGTAGTATTGATCTTATTGTTTTAGTAATTTTTGACCAGAATTTAATTACTACAAAATTACGGTTTCAAACAAAAGTACTGGTCACGTGGCTTGTGATTTATCAACAGTGTCCATAATAAGCATTTATATCCAACATTCATCTGTTTATCACATATAGTATACAATGTTTTATAATAGCATTTAGAATTCTTACAAGGAATAAAAGGCATTTCTGTATGTGTGCACTACTTTACGAAAAAAGATTTATTTGTAAAAATATTCATATTTAAGTAAATGAAACTGACAAATACATGAATTATTTTAAATTCTTTGTAGAGATTTTTTTAAATGTGTGTAGAGAGATCATAGATTCCCGTGTATCAATTTTTCCATTCAGCAATGAACTAAGCCGCCAAATGGAAAATTTCGCTAATAATTTCATTTTTCTCTTTTTAAATAACTTGTGAAAAGGAAAGAAATAAATAAGAAGCACCCGATACATATACATATGGTATACATTAGATGTGATTTTTTGACGTTCTCGTATTCCTAGTTTGAATTGAATTTATTTTTATCATCCACCTTTATTTTGTTACAGGTGTGAAATCCTTCACTCTACCGCTTTCTGAATACGTGCGATCCGGGAGGTGGCTGGTGCATGTGGAGGTGGAGTCGACGGAATTTTCGACCCCCATCGAGATCGCGCCCGGCGTTGGAAACGGCCTTCCTGATGTCGCGGTAGCGGAAGAGCACTACGTCGAGCTGAGATTCGGAAGAGAAATGAGACGCAGATATAAGCCTGGACTGCCTTTCTCTGGAAAGGTAAGACGTAATGGTGATAGATTACATCTTTGCACGGCGTCTCCGTTCAAAGGATAGGTACTTATACACACGACACGGATTTTACAAGTGAATGATTTATGAACAGAACGGTAAAACTACGAACTTAAAATTTAATAACGAAAAAATATATGTAATTGTAATTGAAAGTTTCAACAAATTTGTCACATTCTTAATGATCATCAACTCCACAATAACTTTGGATTTTCAAATTAAGAATACACTGTATATGTTAATTTGCTTCAAAAAACTGATATAAGTTTAACACCACAAGTTTCAAAGGCGAAGTGGATATAATAAGGGAAGATCGATTCTAATTTTCAAATCAGAAAATAATAATAGATAATAAGCAAATTACAAGCGAGTCTGATTCGACACAGCCCCATAAAAAAAAGTGGAAGGTCCAAAAAACAAGACCATGGTAGGTATGTTTTTGAGGTAGCTGAACCCGAATCCGGTGTCCGTTTGACCCAATTAGCTCTGGAGAAAGGTCAGTTCAAGGTCAAAATTAGAGAATTAATTACCAACAAAGACATACATTTCTATACGTTTTTCGGGTTGGTGATCCGAATCCGGTATCCGTTTATTCCGACTTGGTCTGCGTTCAGGTCAGTTCAAGGTCAAATGTAGAAAAACAATTGCCAACAAAGTAAACCAAGGTATCTATACGGTTTTGGGGTCGTTGAATCCCATTTCGGGGCCGGTTTGACCCGATTAGCTCTGGTGAAAGGTCAATTCAAGGTCAAATTTATAGAATCAATTGCCAATAAAATAAACCCATATATCTACATGTTTTTGGGGTTGCTTAATCCGAATCCGGTGTCCTTTTGATACCATTAGATCGGGTCGGTTCAAGGTCAACTAATTAACTCGAGAGCCACTGGCTCAGAGTTAAAGCTTTCTTTCCGTAATCTTATTTGTTACTCAAATTTTAATACGCCTAAATGCTTAACTTGAGTGTATTCAGTTTAGAACTTGAGACTACTTAGCAGACCTAATCGGGTCAAACGAACCCCGGTTTCGGATTCAGCAACCCCAAAAACGTATAGATATATTATTTACATTGTTGGCAATTGATTCTCTACATTTGACCTTAAACTGACCTTAACACAGATCTGATTGGGTCAAACGGATACCGGATTTAGATTCACCGACCCCAAAAACGTATAGATATGTAGGCTTACTTTGTTGGCAATGGATTCTCTACATTTGACCTTGAACTGACCTTAAACCTGATCTAATCGGATCAAACGGACACCGTATTCAGATTCAGCGACCTAACAAACATATGGCTACCGAGGTCATGTCTTTCGGACCACCCAGTTTTTTGTGGGGCTGTGTGTTATTTTTGTCCACATCTTCATTGAATCTTTCGTGATGCTGTATTGGATTTACCTGTAGGTATGTAAGTAGTGCTATAAACCAAGTAACATTTACAGTTAATTTAAAATGAAACGAATTTAAAAAGTACTCACAGATTTATTCACGCTTTAGAAAACAATTATTCCTCTTATTAAAGACAATAGCCAAAACTTTGATAATAATTATAATACTGAATACACAAATAGGATAGAAGTTTACAGATTTGACACCTCTAGGTTTTCAGGTTTTCATTCATTTGAAGACATTTAGCTGTTGAACACTGCAAGAATCTGGTGATATGTGATATTACGTATGCGTGCGGCAAAGTTTATATATCTAAATAGAGACATGTTAACACGAAGTCTTTTAAAAAATAATAGCATAGAGAATTGGCAGCTGCTCTACATAGGACAAATTGAGAACACACAATAGATTTGTACCAGAATAGTAGACAAAAAGATTTTGTCCAGGACTACAGTACTACAAAGAAGCAATATATATTCAATAAAATTGTCACACTCCTCAAACGATATACCGAAAATTATTCAATCATTGACAACTCTCGAACAAAAGACAATAAGGCACGCAGTATAATCAACGTTAATATTCGCGAAATATACTAGTGGAAACCCGATTGACCTCTATCTATTAATCTGATTGTGAATTTTTGGGTTCTGTGTGATATTCTTGGGATTCATTGAGTTTTAATAGCCTCGCACTAATCATTGAGCTCATATGATATATTTTATTAGCTCCTCAGAATTTGGCAGCAAAAGTATTCTAAGAAGTGTATTTCACAAGGAAATTTCAAATTTCTTGATAATGAAATGTTTGGTCTTCTTACGACCTTCATTTGTAAGACTTTAGTCTTCATAGACAATCTCCTGCGCCAAAGAAGAATGACATCTTTGTTTATAATACATTTCAATATTGCAAAATTGACGTACTAAATGACTGCAGAGTTATTGCGACTCTTCAGCTCATATAAGAAATGTGGGCTAAAATCGCGTTTATTCAAGCATGTGAAAGTTAATTAAGATTAGATAAACCAACAAACGTAGTCGTATTGATGTATAATGAAGTTTTCAACATATTTTTTTAAGTACACTTCCTCAAAAAGCTAATAGGCAAATTCGGATACTTCATACATTTTAATTTATGAGGATACTGGAGAAGTCCTGGCCTTAGCAATGAAATAAGAGAGGATTTGTTTTATCTTTTAATTTGTCGACATAATCTCCTTTATCTTCAACTCACTTGCGTCACCTACCCTATCACTAATTTATTAATATAGAAAAATATTACTCCAGTTGGCTTTTATCGTTTAGAAGGTTTGAATTTTCCAAAAATCAGTCATGTTTTTAATCCAACAAAAACCATACCAACAATGCGACCCATGTCGGAGGACATAAAGCTAGACAATTGAGAAGCGAAGTTTTTAACTAACTTTCAAAGTCATCAAAGTCAACCATCGAAGATATTACCTGAGCCGCAGACTGATCTAAAACCACCCTGCCAGAACGGATGACATCAGCAGAGACCAAAGCTATTCCTGAAGCAACTGGCAAAGTTCGCCGTAAGTTTCACATGAGAACAATCCAATTCAGAATTTTCCAAAAATATCATACCAGAAAAGCTACGAAATTCAAACTACCAACTACTACAAGAGACCAATCTGTCCTATGCAAAAAACAATCAGCCAAAGAGGCCTGGTGTCAGAAACCGGACAGAAGATCAAGAACATCGACTCTGAACCAAGGACCTAAAAATGCATGTTGTATGACTCTAAAAATCATCGCATTGTACATTCAATACTATGTTTACACAGTACACCACAATTCCAAATATTCCAAATAATCTTATTATTAACAATACAAAACGTTGTTACAAATAAATTGCGAGCCCAGGCTCCGACCTAGATCATCAATCGAACACCCACAGTGCTCAGAATTAACTAGAGACAACAAAATGTTCATTATCCAAAAAAGGCAGAGAAATTACACGAAAACTGTTTCGTATAATTTCACTGCCATCAAGCACAAGAAAATAATAAAAGTGTTTAAAAAACAAACAGTGAGAAAAGAAGATATATAGGACGGGACACGACACTTTCAAAATAGGCTCAATATCATCATCTGCAAAATAACGTCATCCGAAGTAGACATAAATAAATCATAATAGTTGAGAATGGTTTGGACTTTAGTTGCTTTGTGAACAAACGCATTGTTGTGAAAAAGAAGAACAATTTTTTGACGCAAACTAACATATTTTTGGTCAATCGTCGTGCGTAATTTTAATAACGTATTACCCTCGGGAACTGACCTTGACATATATAATTTCTTCTTACTACCAAAAGATGGCGGCTATGAATTTTCCAGTTGAAGAACACTTATGGAAGGACCACCGCACAATACAAATGGAAAAGGGGGTACAGTCAAATGAACTGATCATGTAGTATGTTGTACTTCATGACATCCTGATCAAAAGTCCTCATGGGTACAGCGGATATTGATATTCCTAACCTTCCACCATTGATATCTCCAAAACTGGACATTTTCAGACGTTGGGCCCATGAGGACTTTTGAGCAGGATGTCATGAAATACAACATACTGTATTTTCAGTCCATTTGACTACAATCCTTTTCCATTTGTTTTGTGCCGTGTCCTTTCTTCGCCTGGCAATTTACATCTAAAAATATATCAACAATTTTGCAATTCACCTTATTGAAATTTTGTTTATGCTTAGTTTAATATATAAAATTGTTAATACACTTGGTTCAGATATACAGTGTGTTTCTTTACATTATTTTATGAAACAACGGTTCATATTAACATAATGTTCAAAGAATGTTCTCTTTTTCTCAAACTTTGAACGATCAGATTGCCAATTATGTGGCATGTTTTGATGTAAAATAAAATTTAGTCAATTTTTTATAATCTATATCGTTAGTTGACTAAAGATGTCTGTTAGCAATTTTTCATATGGAGCTTATTTCTGAAGAAAAATGCTACTTTATTAAAAAATAATTAAATATTGTATGACCGATAAATTAATAAAATAGCATTTTTCTCCATAAATTAGCTTGAAATTCAACAGTGCTAAGAGACGTACTATGTCAGGTAATGAACTACGATTATAAAAATCTGAAAAAGTTAAAAATATGCAGTGGCGTGCAACATATTTTTCTAAATAAATGCCTACACGTATGTTCCCTGTTAATATAAACTTTAATTCATAAATTGATTTGAGAAATCACCCTCTGAAATGTTTTAACGACCCTGTATCTAATGTTTAGCAATAGTAAACATTTTCAAATGACGATCTTCGACGACTATTTCCACAGCAAATATTAAGATTGTTTTCATTTACAGACCTTTTGAAAACGCACAGTCAATTATTAGGTACATATTTTTTCTAGTGCCCCTGTCTATAGTGTCCATAAACGGTTTATGTTTATAGCTATATGTAATAATATCCGATGCAAGCTCTCAATGTAACCGTTGAAACAACAGTTGCATACAATCATGGAACGCTCACGTCCCATTAAAAGATATAGGCGTACACATTATCCGCCAGCCTCCATGCAAAATTGAATAAAGTTATCGCGCCCGCTTTACATTTACACCGCCGCCATAGGTAAATACGTTAAGCTGAATACCCCTTTTATTAGTGTTATCGCCGTCATATTGTATCGATACACAGTTTCACCGGTTTTATTGTGTTCCAGGTGGAAGCAATGAGCACCGAGAAGTCAGTGAGAGTCCGCGTTAAAGTCTACGATAATACCACTTCCATATACTCCCAGGATATTGAAATATCAAACGGCGAGGGCACTTTTGTTGTTCCTGCCATCCTGGCCGACAGCGATGTTATTGCACTGCAGGTAAATAAATAAGTGGTGCCGAGATTGGTTGTGTTGCTTTTGAATGGGTTGGAATGTAAGCAAATAAGCGTTTTACACGAAACGAACAAGGGATATATCCCAATTATACATATGTTGCGAGTTTCGTTTTGTGAGAATGCATTTGAGGGTTATTAAGGACTTAACTGTTTTAAATACATTTACGTAAAAGAGGGTCAATTGTTTATCTTTACTATTATCCTTTAATTTTAATTCGTATAATGAGCACCAACAGGGTTGTCCACTATAAAAACAAACCATATACAAATTCTTATTGAGTCGAAAATTTTATATAAAAGAACCTGCCTGTATAGGCAAATTTTAAATATATGACAAATTAGTGGTAGAAATCATTTATGAATTTTTGCGTTACTTAAAAACTAGTCTGACGTCATAAGGGGCAATTGAAATAATAATTTTACTTAATAAAGGAATTTGAAGATTAAGGAAAATAACTCATAGACTTGAAAATATTTTATACGACAGTGTCAACAGTGTCACTGACAGACTGACACTACTGACAGTGCTGACAGAGCGTCTTCTTCCAATTTTTTTCCTTTACGCAGTCATTTACACATAATTTCACTACAAGGTGCCCCTTATGACGCCACAGCCGTTTTGAAATGTTATAAAAAATCAGTTTTAAATAATTATTTTAAAACTGTTCTGATGCATTTCTCAATCTCTAATTGTGTATACACACTAGTTAGTACGTGTAGAATTATATTATCTACTTTTTGAAATTTGGTCTCAACAACCCTATTCTGGAAAATATCTACAGTGTTTTATAATGTCACAAAGAAATAGTAAAATATAAGAAAACGTAGCACACGCATATGGTATATTTTAACGTAAAATTTAATTTTACATAAAAAGGTTTTACTTTAAAAGATCTGTTGAAATCGGTATATTTCGTGGATTGCTGCTTGGATAAAAATAAACCGATTTATATCAAGTCACCATAGTGCCTACTTAATTACATACAAAAATGTTATAATGGATTTAAAAAAATGTTAAAAAAAGTAAATTTATACTCATACTCATTGAGCTAAATCGGTTTATTTTCGTCCAAGAAAGATACTCTTGAGGTATGTATATTAAAGAAATCAAATTGGTCGACTGGGATAATCAATTGCACTTTTTCCAAAAAAAAAACAAGTCGTTTTCGGTGATTTCAACAAGAGTGTCATCTTTATGCAAGATAAAATTGCACTTATGCATGTTTATTATTAAGATATAGGTCATCAAAGATTATTTTTGAAAATTAAATTTTTGGCAACTCTTCAAAAAACGTTGTGACTTTTTATAGGTTAAATTTCTTGCATTGCTTGCACACATTACGATGTTAAATTTCATTTTACAAGTAATAATACTGCTGAATAATACTACTGAATAATAATAGTGAATAATAATACCTACTGAAATTGCAGAAAATGCACTATTTTCGAGAACAATAATTGTACCCACAGCCAATCAATTTATTTCCATAAATACAAGGTATTTATGTATATAATATGGAAGGAGCTGATACTTAGGTTATACTAAGAAAATTTTGTATAAACATATATCGCAAAATGACCTATTCCTGAAGTAGAAAAGTTTGATTGTATTCGATATATTTAATAATTTTTTAAGTCGGAAATTCTTTACACCTTCAAGAGCGTGGGTATAAGAAGTGGGATTATTTTTATGTTGTTAATTTTTTACCATTTGCCAAAAGTCGCTAGCTACTACCTCTCTCAGTGGCATTTTGCGACATAACTTTTTTGAAGTTATGTTTTTACATTGCATTGTAAACATAAAAGGTGTTATTGTTGAAACCAACGTAATTTTAAGAAAAACGCAATTGCTAGCTACTACCTACCTCTCTCACTGGCATTTTACGATATAGGTGCCTAAATTTTTTGGAGTTAGGTTTTTTAAAGTGCATTGTAAACATAAAAGGTGCCATTGTTAAAACCAACGGAATTTTAAGGAAAATGCAATTGACTGTCCCGAACCCAATCAGTTTCTGTTCCTGTACAAGGTGTCCAGGAACGAATTAATGATACTTCAAAGTTAGTTTCTTTGGATAAAAATAAACCGATTTAAATCAATATCTGCTGGTGCAATTTTGCTTCTTGAAAAAGCAAAGGGTTTTCAACAGAGTAAAATAAAAAAAATGTTTTTAAAGGCTTGTAACTTTTTAAGGAAGGAAAATTATAGCAATGTAAATTGTTTCAAATTGGTTCATTTTCATCCAAGGAACTATCACCCATTCGATTGCGGACACTCTATACCTATATTAAGGTAGAAGCTGGTTGCTTTTGGAACAGTCAGTTGCGTACTTCCTAAAAACGCAGTTGCCGTGATTTTAATAAGAGTAGAGATCTTTTAATATCTCATGAGCCGCGAAATGCGCGAAAGGCGTGGCGTATCCCCATAATTCTTCTAATAAGCACGTTGTGAAAACATTGACTCAGAATTAGACCACGTGCCTCATCACAACTGGAAATGAGCTAAGGCGCTCGGGCATCAATAAAGTCAACTGGCGAACGTTCGTTATATATATTTTTATTGTTTAAATTAAAATAATAAAGAATAGGGCATTTTATTATGATATTTGTAATCGAATCAAAGGCTTGTTTACGCTAGAGCTCGAGAGAGACTGTGAATAATAGGTGCAATGTTTTTAGGATGTAGAATAATTTAGGCGACGGTCGGAATTATGTTTCTGCGCATATGAAGGTCAAAGCTCATAAGATTTTAAAACATCTCTACCTACCTTTTGTTTGTAAAATCAAATGATACATTTTAATACAAGACATATGAAAAAAAGCAACGTCAAAATAGTTTTGTCATAAAATCTCGAACATATGGTCCAAAACTAACAACACTGGCGTATTAATCACGATCAAAGACTTACCTGCACCAACTGTTAATGCTGCTGTTTCAGAAAAACCTCCCGTAAATACAGGGACTGATAGTACGACAAAAAATAAGAATTTTTTGTCTTATGAACTATATGTCTATCTCCTCTTGTTTTCGAGATACAGAGCGACAGAATAAAATTTTTTAAATAGAATTTTTATGAGTTTCCAAACGGTGCGAAATATTTTTAAGAAATTTGGTATTCAGGGATTTTTAAAGATGCCAAATACGCTGGTCTAATTATTTTTTGGATATTTCATAGAGGGCGCTAGTTATGCTACATTTCTGTTACATTTTAAGTTTTAATTTCTAAGTTTAAAATATTACTAATTGTAAGAATATATGCGTTGTTTATGAGACATCCATCAATAAGCTTTGACATAAAGTCACTTATTTTATACACCGTAATATTATAAGAGTTTAATTAAAAGGCTTTTTTCTCGAAAACCGTCCGCATTAGCAAATTCTAACAAGAGTACATTATTTTTAGAAAATAAAATTGTACATTAGAAATTGGAGCCCGAATGGTAAAAAATCTAACCTTCAAAAAATTATAATCGAAAATGTAATAGGAATGTAGCATATCTAGCGCCCTCTATGAAATATACAAAAAATAATTAGACCAGCGTATTTGGCATCCTCAAAAACCCCGATATACCAAATTTCATAAAAATATTTCGCACCGCTTGGAAATTTTCTTAAAAATTCTATTTAAAAAATTTTAGTTTGTCGCTCTGTATCTCAAGACGAGATAGACATATAGTTCATAAGACAAAAAATTCTTATTTTTTGTCGTACTATCACCCCCTGTATTTATGGGAGGTCTTTCTGAAACAGCCTGTATAAATTCATCATCCCTTATAAATATTAATCTGAAATTTTTATACTTACATATTTTTTTTTAATATCAAAGTTAATAATATCTTATAATCAGAATTTGTCACGAGCTGATCTTCCAAGACTACAATGTGTATGTTTTATTCAAAATCAGCAAGACGTTGATCCGGTGTTTACAATCAAAATATTATTATTTACGGATAAAGCATGTTTACTCGACGGGATGTTTTTAATTTTAGGAATAATCATGTTTTGGGAAATTGAAAATCAACATGTAGCACGAGATTGGCATTTCCAACACGGATTTAAAATTAACATTTGATAGGGAATTATTGGAAGTTACGTATTGGGTGCATGTCATCTGCCAGAAAATTTAAATGATGGCTCCTGCTAAGTTAATTTATATTCTCGTTTATTAAAATCTTTGTCTTTGTGTGCTTTTGTGAATAAGATTACCGCATAAAGTGATATATCTACATTTTACTAAGTAAATCTTTAGATACTTATCCATTGGGCTAAATGGGACACTACAAACAAAAACAAAACAAAAACCCATGGTGTCAGTTTATTTGGGCAGATCATATCCTAAAATCAAGTAATAACTAATAATATAAAGAAAAAATTATTACATATTTCTTCAGTAGGTACACTCTCCTCAAAGAAAATGTTTTGAGCACTAAAAATAGTAAGAATAATGACACTCCTCTATTTGTTCCCTCCAGATTCATCCATCAAAGAATTATTTTGCTCACTTATTTCATAAATAGTCATTGCTTGATTATTAAGCTTTTGTACGAAAGAAAGATTGCTTCCATTTTTGATGAAAGTAAGCCCTAGCCGTATTCTCTCTGGATTGAACAGAGCCAAAATATGACTAAGTAATTTTCTTTTCCTTATGAACGGTTATCGGTAGCTTTCATTTATAAAATACATCGATTTTAATCTCAACGCACAGAGAATGGAATAATGGTTGATGGTATATATGTTTTGTTGATCTTTTGAGTACGAGATAATAACATTTGATCTGTTACAAGTTAGAAGTTCATCAATCATTTTGAGAAAACATGTTTTGTCAAAACCTTTTATTTCTTACTTCCCTTGGTTTAGAACAGAGGGTAAATATTACATAAATTTTCTCTAACAAATTGCTTCTTGCCATACTATGAAAAAATGTATAAAGCCGAAGCAAGCATTAATAGGATTTTTATTGTAATTTATTTCCCTGAAAAAACACT